TCAGAAGCAATTTGGAAAGATTCTCAACATATTGACTCTTCGTCAAGTGTATGATGATTTGGACTAAGGCCAGAATTTCCAGAAACTTCTCGTTAGTGTTTTAAGGCTACCGACGGTCAGATATTCCTTGCCTTTAAAAGATCTCACTACTGCCTCCAAGTGGTACCCATTTTAGAACAATAGTCTACACAGAGAAGCGAGACCAAGAGCAGTCTAGTGAATAATCGAAAGTCGACCTAAAAAACAGGAGATCTACATAGATGTATGGATGTAAAATTCTTCGGTTGTCGTTTAACAATCCTTCTCTATATCACATATGAGGCCCCTACTAGCGTTTGGAGTTAAAGCTCACCGTCAATTTAATGATTGGACCTTATCAGCGTCGTTTCGGAACTGGAAAAATTGCCATTGATTAGATATTCTTCATGCGCCAAATCTTATAAGAGAACAATAAAAAAAGATCGTCACACCATCTCTTCATCAACTTTAAATATATATACACAACTGCTGGCTTGTGCCGATGATGTGGACCTTGTCCTTGTCGTCATTAACATCCGCGGCTTTAGTTACAGACTGGATGAACAGTGAGACGTCTATCTAGGATCTTTTAAATCTGGGTAGACAGTTGGAAAGTAAAGTCCTATCCACGAACTAAGACCAAACTTCACAAATCAGAGATTATTCCTTTGGTAATATTGTAGCCGTTCGTCAATAACACTTAGGAACATGCCAGACTAGTTTGAGTCATTGGGAAAGGGGGTTAGATTAGTTAGTTTTTGGAGGTTTTTGGAGCATTCATGTATGTCAGTGTCAGGTAGGAATTAAGGCGACTGCAATACTAAGATCTTAATTGTGCCGGTGTTGCTCGGGTCTATCGGGAAAATAGATTTCATGAAGAAGTTGGCAGACCCTCGGCCTTTAAGGTCTTTCTGACTCGGCCAACAGCCAAGGGTTGCCACCCTTTTTTTTTGGCGATATGAATGCGTGATGCGTGGACGATGTCGATATAAGATGATTCGATGCTAAGAGTTTTAGAAGAAAAAGAACAATTTGTGCATTGGTGTAAACCACAGGCGATGGAGCGTAGAGAGCGATATAAGGTGATTTTGACGTACATAGTTCTGCGGTTCAAAAGACAGCAACTTCGCTGGCTAGGTCATACCGTCCATATGAGCGATAACCCTCTAGCTTTGAAAGCATTCTACGCAATATCCGTCAATTGAAAAGAGAAAAGGAAGGAACTCCACTCCGTTGGAAATACCAAATGGAGAAGAACGGGGCTTCACTCGGTGTCTGTGATTGGGGACAAACAACGAAAGGGGAAAAGACAGATTCACTCTTGTGACTCGTGAGTAGTCAATCAAGAAAACGAACAGGAAAATGTAACGATTCGTCATTTACTCGAACAAAATATAAACTCCAAGGCTTGTAAGTCATTGTTCGGGCGAGTTCCTTAGAAGGCACAGGATATTGTTTCCTAATGTGTGGCAAAACTGCCTCAAACGTGTGCCTTTATAGAAGGTTAGGCTCTTGCTCCTTTGTAGTGCCAATCTTAATTTAAGTTGAAGTTGTAGCCTTTTAAGGAAACCAATAGAACCCATTTGAGGGGTACCCTGATACTAAACCCTGCGACTTCTATTAGTTCTGCTCTCTGAGCTATGAAGCCACAAAAGACCCGACACTGCTTACTTCCCATGCATAAGACGGGTGCAGATTGTGGCCAGTCGTTGGGCACACAGCCCCAATGAAATAAAACGAGCGAAAAACGGCTTTAATCTTTGCTGCGTTCGCCTATGATCCCTTCTCGTCAATAACTTGGAGCACATTTTCTTTAAGGCTTCTTGCACCTCCTATATTCTACTAAATGACTAATTTATATAATATTTCTTTTATTTTACCATTTTTGGAAACTCATAAGTCTCTGTATTTCCACTAAGTCTTTTATTTATTGCGTGAAAGCGTCGCTATTTCCTTTCTTTTTACTTTGCTATGAATTTACGGCATTGCATTAATAAACTTTCACTAATCACTTTTTTATCTAATCACCACGCTTGGTGCGCCATATAACTGTACCTTAAAGTATGGTAAGGAATTGCCAATTAATTGTGTAGTCTAGGAATGCTATGGGGGTGAGGGGGCTGGAAGTACATAACTATAAAATCTTATGGTTTCACTTTTATCAATCCAACTCGAACAACTTGCAGGAGGGCAGTAAAATGATAATTTATTTATAGACACTTCATTCCAAATCAATCCCAATTTCAAATCAAACCCATTGGAGACTGAATTAAAATGCAAGTGATCGAATGGTGATTTTGGTAAAATTTTAACTCTGATGAGAACCATAGCAGACATCGTAATGGTCTCTAGCTGGAATTGCTGAAAGATGAAATGGTGCTGTCCCACGGGTCTATTTACTAGCTCGAAAGACACATTGACAAGGACCAATCAGTTTGCTGACAGTGGACTTCAATCTTTCACACAATACGCTCGACAGGACCTTGTAGGCGATATTTATGAGGCTAATCCTATGGTAATTGGTACAGACCATGGGATACCCATTTTTCTAGATCTGGTGGAGTACACTTAAGCTGAAGCATGCACCTCGTCAGCTCTTCACCGCCTTACTTAAATAGTTCATCCGTTCTGTTGTTCTTTTTGTGGGCACGCTATTCGAACCTCGTCATATTAGGGTAATGAAACGTCTTTTCCATCATCATCGCTAATCGGTACCTCTAGCCCGCACGCATGTGTTGTAATCGATCGCAAGGTCGCGAGGTAGGCAGTAGGTTTTTTTTCCACTACATTTAAATAATTCCCATCTCTCTTTCTGAAATCGCTAAAAACCAATTGAAGCTGAATTTCTCAAGCACAATTTTCACATTGTGGCGAAGGCAGCGCTCGCAGGCTCATATGAAGCGTTCTTCGTCACATTGTCCTTCTCTTGTATCGGGAAATGGGTACAAATCATATATGTATATGTTCAAAAATATTGCTTTGATGTGGATTGAGGCGAAGCGTTCATTCACAGTAGGACGGAGTCTCTCCCCCATCACAAATCCAACACCACGTGATGGCCGCTGTAGTAAATTTCACAAGGGTCTTCTAGTTTCCTTGTTGTTTGCCTTGTCCCGTCCTACGCACTTCTTGGACGACGGTGATGTCAGTCTTTATATCTTCAAGGACAACAACCAGCTGGGGAGGGAGTTCCATCCAATTTAAGGAACAGGACATTCCAGGTGGTAGGTTCCGAACTCTACGTCTAACCGCAAGACGATTCGCCTTCCCACATTAGCTTTGAAGGGGAGCTGAGTGAATGACAGTCAAAAACCTTCCTCACTTCTACACACGGTCTCATTCCAAGACCTTCTACGGCAATAGAAAAAGTCGGAAAATTTAGCCTCAACGGCGAGACCTATCCAAACTGCCTAAGGCTGATTGACTTTGCGGAGGTCGGAAAAATTATTATTTGTAAAACAAAAAATATACCTCCGGTGTGGCAGATGTACAAAAGAGATGACTGGCAGTACTAACCTGGTAAGCAAAGGACAGCTACACCGGCAAAGTCATGTTTTGTCTGGTTGAATGGAAACATATCAGTTTGTAGGAGCAGAGAAAGTTGAAGACCTCCATTTCGAAGCAAATAAAAAGGGCAGAGATACCGGCTCTGTCAGCACGAAGCAGTTCCAATATGGATATCACCGCCATCCAAGAGGTTAAAAGCAAGAGCAATGTTTCAGTGGATCCTGCAAGATAGGTAGGCTTTGCGAGGTCTCCTTTAAAATCCCGACCTGAAGGACCATCCGGAGAATTTCGATGAAATTTCAGTGTATCAACAGCTGCTTCTAGCAGTGGTCTTCCTACTTACTGAGAATCCAGGCAGTTTTTATTAGCAATTAAAGATTTCATTTATTTTATTAACACTGCCGCCTCTACATTTCAATACGCAAACTAATTTTGAACTCTTTCAAGACCATAAACTTGTAGCTCGTCTTTGTTCCGGAGAGCATATTGACCAACTTTAAGTTTATTTTATTGTAAACCTACAAATTTATAACCTTTTGTTTGTTGTCTTTCTCATTTAAATATCAACAGACTTTCATCGACTCAACGTGTTTGTGGCATCTACAACAAACATACCTACCTACATACATTCATATGTATCAGTGTATATAAATAAGTACACCCACGCGAACAATACAACCCGTTTGCTTTCCCATTGATCGCTACATTAAAGCTTGAATTTCGCTAGGCTCGGCCTAAGAAAACCCGCAAATCAACCCACCCATTAAGCTACGGCGAGCGTGTGTTGGCAATAACTTCCCGCCGGTACTACAATAATAGTCTGCCAAGCGAACCCGTTTTGCGGGTTACAACCAAACCCAATTGTCTCTGCTTAACTACTTGGCAAAAGACAAAAATAAATTCAGGGAGAGAGCGAGAGCAAACCCGTTAATAGTTAGCAACCAAGCAAAGCAAAAGGAAGTAAAAAGTGGTTGAAAACTGGTTCTTTGGTGGTTAGCAAATGAGTGAACCTGAGTGACTGAGTGTGTCGAGTGGCGTGTGAGTGTGTTTGTGTTTGGGTGTTAAAGAGCGTTTACACACACATTTATGCACCTAGATATGTATGCGTATAAGAACTTTTTACAGGTAAAATTCGTGCACCGGCGACGAGCATTTCAACTCCATAGTACCTAGACGCACACTCATCTAAACGTATACATTCACACAGTCGGATGCATGTATTTTGTTTTTGTGTGTAAATTTATCACACACACATTTGTAGGTGCGCGCGCCACTCCACTAACAGACGTGCGTTCGTTCGTTCGTTCGCCGTGTGTGCGCGCGTGCTTTAAATGAGCGCGCTGAGTGAAAGAGTATGCGCCGGCACCTCTGCTTCGGTTTCAACGACTCGTTGCGCTCGTACCTAATATACTACATGCTCGCCTGCACGGTAGGTCCGCGTCAAACTAGCGACGCAATGGACTTTTAGTTATTCCGTGGACTTGCCCAACATTGTGCGCGCCGTTTGTACGCTAAGCGACGTTACGCGCACGTCATACAGTCACAGTTAGTTAGTCATCAGCAGTTTGAGGCGCTGTATATCGGCGCACATAAAGAGTGCATATAGAACAGCGGCGGTAGAGCAGTGCAGTTGCTGCTTAAGGCATTTGTTTTTGTGATTTTTTGTTGTTGTTTTTACTCGATATTAAATTCTGGTTAATTTTGCATACGGTAGTGCACAACGCACGCCTTATCGCATCAGCTGCAACAGTTATCAGCGGCGACTAGCAATTTTACCTGCTTCTCGAGAGGTGTTAGTGACTTTTCATGCACGCGGACGGACAACTGGTATCGAAAGAAAAACAATTGAATTAAATGAAATTAGAAAAAAAAATACTTTTTGTGCTTGTTTTACAGTGCTGGTTGCACGCGCTTATGCAAACGCTTGTGTTTATTTGCGTTTTTGGTGTTTTCTATTTGAATTTTTTTATTTGTGACTCGTGTTAATTGCACGCGCTCAAGCGCCTAAATAAACACACAGAAAAACAACCAAAATACACAAGAAGACAAGCGCGTGTGTGGTCCTTGTACTTTTTGACGGCGTCTTCTTGAGGCTGGCCAACACTGAGCTAAAACTTGAGCCTTGTTTTTGTCATTTATTGGTGTGTATGACGTTTAAGTGCCAGTTAATTATCGACGCGGCGCCACAACAGCAACCGACCTCCTGAACTAATCCGTCTAAGCGCTTGTTAGCGGTCAACGGCAGGATTTGTGTGAAGTGTGATCGATTTACATTCTACATTCATTTGAGTGGTGTATCGCTAACAAGAAGAAACCGCAAACTGCTAAGCGACACGTCAGTGAACACAAAATTTTGTGGGGACGAGTGAGGAAAGCGGACGCACATCGCCTTGGCTTTTGGATTGCGTGCTTAGCAAGAGTAAGCGGAAAAGTAGACAATAAGATAGGAAAGGAAAAGGCTTGACAAGCATATCATCAGACAGATAGCTATAAATATTACAACAACAGCAATAGCGGCAACCGCGACCACAACGCTGCTCTCAAAGTTATTGTCCATCAATTTGTTTGTTAATATGTTTGTCGTTTGCCTGCTGCTTGCAATATAGTTTATGTGCATATGTATGTAGTATAACAGAGTTGCATTTTTGCTTGCTTCGTCTGTTCCGTCTGCTCCGTCTTCTTCTTGCTCCTCTTGTTTTTGTACGAACGTCAAATTCGATTTTTATGACTTTTTGAACGCGTGACTAAGCGGTGATTTATGGTGGTGGCGTGTGGTTTTTTAATATTCATGCGCGACTGCTGCCTCCGACGAAGAAGAAGAAGAGTTTAGCAATAACAGCAGCAACAACAAGCCCAAAGAATTGGCTGAAACACTCGACCCCCATTTTAACAGGCAAAAAAAAACAAAAAAAAAACGACAATAACAGCAACAACAACAGCAACGCCAATCTGCCAGCCACATCATCAAGTAGAGAGCCACGGGCAATTTGAAGAGTTCCACAGCGGTGTTGCAAGTGTGTGGCACGTAGGTGCATAAGCAGGTCGTTAGCTTGCGTAGGTGTGCTTGAGTCGTCGTCGTGTAGGGTGCACAGGCGAGCAGGCAGTAATTCATTCGACGTTCTTCGATATCCTGCTGCGCGTGCGCTATGGACTCCTCCGCTAGTTCCAATCTTGCCGCTGGCCGTACTGGTGTACAACAACAATTACAAAATCATGTGAAACAACAACAACAACAACAGCAGCAACATCAACTGCAGTTGAAACAACAACCACATTTACAGCTGAGACAGCAAACACAGCAAGCACAGTCCGGCATGCAACAGCAACAGAAATTGCCGCAACAACAACAACTGCAGAAATTTAAGCAGCAAATGCAGCAGACACAGCGCCTGCAGCAGCAGCAGCAACAACAACAACTTGTGGATGAGCAGCAGCAACGGCAGCAACAACAAAATCTGTTACAACTACAAACACAACAGCAAACGCCAAACAGGCAAACACATGTGCGATCAACGGTAAACTTTTCAACGACAACAACAAAAGTAACAACGTCAACAGCAGCTGCTGCTGCAGCTAGCGCTGCCATAACATCACTGATCAAGGAGGAGCTGAACGCGGCTGAGTTGCATGCCACTTCCGTTGCAGCGGCACTGGAAAAGCAACAGCAACAACAACGCAGCATTAGCAGCGATACGCTGAGCGGCAACAACAGCAGTAACATTGCAGCAAGTGCTACACATCAACAAAAGGCAAGCACTTCCGCCAACGCAACGACTGCTGCGTCCACCATCACGGCTATGGCATTGGCTCTGGCAAAGGAAGCGATCAGCGACGGCAGCGGTCAGCAACAGCTGGGCAACAATTTCAATAACAGTGTTGCTACTCAGGCCACGCACCCAGCAGTGGTGGGTAGTACAACAACTTTGCTACAGCAGCATAAAACTGGCAACGGTGTCAGCAACAACAATAACAACAATATTGCCAACAGCGCCAATAATGCCAACACTTCGTCACTGGCAAACGTCTCAACCACGAATGACCTCGCCGCTGCGGCCGCCGTTGTACTCTCCCTGCAAGGCACCATGGTCAGCAGCCTGCAACAGGCCGCCCTCTTGCCCGTGAACTCACCTGCTGCGGCGGCGCTTAATTTACAAGCGCTTGAGTCGTATTTGGCATTGCAACGCATCACCGGCAAATCAGACGTCTTCCGTTTCAATACAGTAACCGCAAGCAGCAGCAACAACGAGAGCAACAATAGTGTTGATAATAATGGTGAAGGGAACGGCAGCTGCAACACAAGTGTCGGCAATGCAGAGGAGTCAAACAATTATACTCTACCAGCAATGGCAACTACGATAGTAGGACAACAACAACAGCAGCAACAACAAGAGCTCAACGCACTCGACACCAGTAACATATGCCTTGAAGCGTCTAAAACGCAACGCAGCAACAATATCGCCAACACCAACAACACAAATACAACAACAAATGCCATACAAACGTTGCTACAGAGTGCAGGCGCCACCGGCACTGACCTCACCACCAGTGACCTTGGCGATTGTGACCTGCCGCTGTTGGACGGCGAAGACGGTCTTTCCTTTGAGGCTAGTGAACTGGAGAGCAGTTATAGCAATTTCATATTCAATAGCAATGCATTCAATTGTATTAGCCAACAACAGCAGCAACAGCAGAGCCAGCAGCAGCAACAACAACAATCTTTAACAGCCGAGATAGAATCAATTTCATCACTCCAAGCCACCATGTTCCAAGACAAACTCAACCATCAACAGCTAATCATAAATGAAGGTGTCGCTGCAAGCGCACTCAACGAAGCGAACGCCTTACAGGCTGGTGGTGGCAGTGGCGCTGCTGGCGGCGCAACCAATGCTACAGCCGCTGCCGCTACAAATCCACAACGTTCGAAGAAACAGTTTATTTGCAAATTTTGTAATCGTCAATTCACGAAGTCCTACAACCTACTCATACACGAGCGCACACATACCGACGAGCGGCCGTACTCGTGCGACATCTGCGGCAAGGCATTCCGTCGGCAAGATCATCTGAGAGATCACAGGTAGGCGAAGACATTTTTTTAATTTATTCATTTTTATTTTTTAGACGCATAAACATAAATATAAATGTCAAGAAAAAGTCTTAATTAAGTTTTTAACTCATCGCTTTCTTCTATTTCTTTCCAATCATTCCGCCGCTCTCTCTCTCTCACTCTCACTCTCGCACCCATCCACAGATACATCCACTCGAAGGAGAAACCATTCAAATGCGCCGAGTGCGGCAAGGGCTTTTGCCAATCGCGCACACTTGCCGTCCACAAGATCCTGCACATGGAGGAGTCACCACACAAGTGTCCCGTCTGTAATCGTTCATTCAATCAGCGCTCCAATCTCAAGACCCACTTACTCACACACACCGACATCAAGCCCTACAACTGCGGTTCCTGTGGCAAAGTCTTTCGTCGTAACTGCGATCTGCGTCGTCACAGCCTCACACATAATCTGGCGGGTATGTCGGGCGGTAGTTTGGGTAGCGGCAGTGAGCATCTACTCACACTACCCGCCACCGTGGCGGACATTTTCCAATCATCAACAGGCAGCGGTGGTGGTATCATGACGACGTCAAGAAATTTAGATGGTAAGACCGTGACTATATTGCCAGCTTGCAGCACAGCCGCCACTAAGTCGACCATAGATCTGATTGCGGTAACTGACTAAGTGTTTAGTAAGTGGTTTAGCTTAAAATATAAATTAGATGGCCTTATAATTGTGATTTTACTGTGTATGGCTTGGGTCGTGGTTGAGAATTTCGTTGCCCAAACCAAGCAAGAAAATTAAATTTAATTAAAATTGATTTAAATCAGTTTGACTTCATGCGGCGTCTTTTGGGCTACGGAGAGAGGATCGAATGATATTTGGTTAGGCGCTTCATTCATTTGGGGCGGGTGTGTTGAATCAATTCATAATTTTTGTTGTGAATAATTAAAAGATAATATTTAAAAACTGGGAAACTTTCTCGCAACTGATTGATTAGACTAAACAATTGGATTAAATAAATTTCGATTGATTGATTAATCACATGACACCTCTAATTAGTAGCTCAATGATTGCTGCAGAGTTTGCACTTAAGAATAAAACTAAACAATTTCGTTTTTACACATATTTGTATACATACATACATACATAAGTTTTGTATCATCATTAGGCTTCCAAATCGTTCCAAACGTTTGACATACAATACATACATACATATATATAAATTAGCATAGTTTGTGTAGTTTAGTCCACTGCTCTCAGCAGCGCTTACCATATGACAATGTGTTACATACAAACATGCATACATATCTACATATGCGCATGTACATACGTGTATGTGTAATTAAAAGTAACTTAACATGATCTTAGCATAGCGTCCATATTCATTAAGTACCCATTAAAATTACTCTAGATATATAATATATTTTTTATTGTATTTTCTTTTCGAAAATTTCAAAATATCAAAAAATACTACTTTTTAAATATTATGAAAAAACTAAAAAATACTAATTTTGTATAAAAAATAATAATTTTAGTAAAAGTTTTGTAAAACTCATTGCACTGCCCGTGTGGAGTGACTTTTTATCTGCCTAAAAGATTTCATGTATTTTTTTAATAAAAAAAAATTTTATTTCGCAAATTGACTTGAACGCCCTTGAATTTTATTGCCCTCTTATTCTTTACTCATTTTGTACTTCACATTTCCTTTCCTAGTGTAGGCATGAATGCCTGTCAATATATAGATATACAATACTATGAAGTAATGGGATCAGTAAGTATGGCTAAGCATTAATGCCCCATAGGAAATGTTACTCAGTGTGCACTACATACATACATACATATTATGCAACTGGATTCCAAAATAGCTCTTCCTTGCTCGTTACTGGTGTAGACGCCACTTTCGCGATTACATCCAAATTAGCAACAGCGCGCTCGAAAACTCCAAACGCCGACTCTGCAGATTTGTCATCGTCCATGTTTCCTAAATTCGCTCTTTCTAATAAATTCCGTATATGCGTTGGAAACAGCTAGTTCCGACTGTAATAGAATATACAAACACGAGTATTTTCTGCGGGACAACCGTCAAGCGGTGTCAACTTTTCATGTATCTCTCATAAGATATGTTGCTACGGACGGATGGTTTGTAAGACGGGTAGTTGCAGCTTAAGCATAGTAATATACCAGTTAGTAAACGCCTGTTGAGTTAGGTCTCCGCATTCTTCGGCAGATGCTGCGCGCTTATACGATACTAACCGAATTAGTAACAGCGCGCCATTTGCTTTTTCCTCTAGTCATTCGACGCCACAGGCAGGCATCTGGTGTAGCCAAGTTATTTCTCCACTGACTAACATCTATGGAGTGGATGTCTACATCTTCCACTATTTCCACCAGTATCGAATACCTTCAAATCTGCAGTGTTTTCGTTCTTCCCGCTTTCTCTTAGTTTTCTGTACTATAAACTATGTCAACAGCATCGTATATCCACGCAGCTCATCGTTCCATCGTCTGTAGTATTCGTCTATGCGTAAATTACCACAAATCTACCGCAAAATATTTCTCACTCTTAATGCCGACTAATCAGAAATGGTCGTCGTGCAGGCCTCTGCACCATAGAGCAGAACGGTAATGGTGAGCGACTTGTACAGTATGATTTTCGTTCAGAGTAGCAGCAGTTGGTAAGAGACGAAATCATATATGATTTCAAAGTATATATGTCAGCTATGAAGTGAAAAAAGTACGTCTGATTCCTTCGCGACAGTAGATCAGTCTCCATCAGTCTAAAAAAAACAAGACGAACGAGAGGGTGGGTGTTGGATCTATAACTTCGAAACAATCGTCATCTGAGTGAACAGCAACTGGTGAACCTCGTTTAAAACGTTCGAAAGCACACCAATCGGCATTGCTCATCGACTATCTTTATATAAGGAATGCCATCAACAGTGCGTTGATGCCAGAAATTGCAAAGAAATCAATGCGTATGGCAAAGGAAAAGAGTTTGCTTCATCAAAACATCACCCAATGTGCAGGAAGTCAATTAAAACAGAGGCACAACTAGAGGAATTTGCCTTTTGGCCACATTCGCTTCGCAGACCCCAAAATCATGAACACCGGTAAGACACTTGGCTCGGTAACAAACTGGAATAATCGTGAAGCTCTTGATGGAGATTATACATATATAATTTGCGCCTTCTTACCGCTGAAACGATTTTCAGCCGAGCTCCTCCTCCAATTAGTGGTTTTGCAAATGGAGAGACCTACAGTTTATACTAAGCCGCCTCCGAACGTCTGACGGTTTCTACGAGAAGTCTTATTTCATGTCAGAAATACACACGGAAGGGTTGACATTCTGATTTCGAGAATTTCGGTGTCCATTTTTATTTGTGTCTATGTTTGTATATACAATATTTCATGCTCTTAGATGCCCTATCTGACGGACTTATGACTCGAAATCTCAATTCGGAAAAATTCGACGAATATATGCTATGGTGAACTGAGGGACTAATTTGGGTACAAGCACGGACGGACAGACGGGCACGTCTAAATCAACTCAGCTCGTCATTCTGATCCGAACGGTATACATTTGAATGGGTATACAATATATCCTATATTATTGTCTTTCTTGGTGGTCAGACTGGAGTTCGGACCAATTTTTTGCTTTTAAAAAACAAGCCTTCTTCGGTGGTGGAATTTTTCAACTAAATGAAAACTAATTTTTTTTATATGTGAAAAAAATTATTTTAAATTTTCTCTACACGGTCCCCTTTATACATAAATACATATATACATAATTAGTATATGTCTACATACCTATGTAAGTATGTTTCTTATCACCAAGCCGCTAGAGAATGAGTTGATTTAGATATGCCGACAAAATGTTTGACATTTTCGTTTGGTAAACAATGGATTCAACTAGAATTTACGTTGAAACTTGTCACGTACACATACATACATACAAACATACAAATAAACACTTTTACCGCTGGTATGGGAATATTTTTTACAACACTTCATTAATTATTTGTTTTCATTTAATAAACACAGCGAGAGGAGAAAGGAAAGTAAGTGAATATTTACAGAGATTAAAAGTAAATTAGTTTCAGTGAATTCTATATGTACGTGTATGTACATATGTACGGCGTTCACATGAGTGATTTATAGACCATTAGAGTGTGTGTTGGTGTGTGGTAAAAGTAATTGCTGAGTTATTAAAAATTTAATAAATTCGTTAAATTGTCAAGTTGTGTTTGTTGTGGTCTGTAACCCAGTCGTTTACCCTCGACCGCGCTGTCGACTGCTTCTCTGCTTGTAAATTCATTTTCTGGCGCATTACGATGAAAGATTAATGCCTCAATCGCCACCTGGCTCTCGACTAATATATATTGATAAATTTTATATTTCTGAACTGTCTACGTAACTTGATATCTCAGCAGCTTCCCCTATAACGAAGAGTTTCGCCTGAAAACTATAGCGGTACTCTGGAAGCTTGAAGGCATGCCTGAGTTCGAGCCATTTTTGTTCAAACCGTGTAGATGTTATACCTATCACTGCGAATAACATATTTCTGTGCTATCCGCCCTCTTTTAATATTTACCTAATAAGCTTTTCAGCTCTGTAATCAGCCATCTGCTCCTTCAAGCTAAATCAAAATGGTATTTCAAAGAAAAGCGTGTGCCACCTGATTAGGATTTCAGTTAATATTTATTTATTTCATCACACCATCTGAGTACATCATTCACATTATCATTCAAGAGTTCTTTATTTTGTAAGGCTCGGAAAGATTTAGCAAGTTGAATGTCTTCTACATACATAAGATTATTGGAGTGACCTGCGTCACCAGACAAATCATGAATGAATATAGCAAGTAATATATATACATACGAGTATATATACATACATATATGATTGGCGCTTTGTAACCGCCGAAGCGATTTTCCGTCAAGCTCCTTCTCCAATTTGTGGTTTTATGTCTTGTTGTTTTTCCAACATGTGGAGAGACCTACAGTTTATACTGAGCCGCTTCCAAGCAGCTGATGGTTTCTTATGACAGGGTTGACATTCCCTGTCGAGGGGCAACCGCAGTTAGAAAATTTAGCTTAAGTTTTTATTTAAATTAATTTTCTATAACTTTTCGGATGTTGGTACGACACCAGGAGACCTGAAATGAAACTGTCTTAAAGCACCAGAGGTTACAAAAATATCACGAGATTTATAGTTTTCAAAAACTACATCTCAATGTCTACCAACTCCAGACGGGAATCCATAATCGTAGCTTACAACAGGGAGCGAATGGATTGTTGAATACCATTAGTTTCATAACTTTTTTCGAAGAATAGTAAATTAAAGTAAATTCAATACGTAATATAAAAAAATTTAATAAAAAGCTCTAATCCATTTCTATATGCTTTTCTTAAGGCCGATTCTTCACCAGCCAAATCATTCGCGCTATGGAGGAACAGATGGTAAACACTTAGTGAGAAATTCGGACTATAAGGTGGATGCAAGAACCTCCCAGCCAAATTCTCGGAGCTTCTGGCGACACACCATGGAGGTGTATGATCTGGCGTTGCCATGATGAAATACAATCCATCTGCTGTTGGCCAAAACTGGACACTTCTAGCATATCTATGCGATTGCTTTCTTGAGGCGGTTCAATTGCTGACACTACAGGTCCGAATTAAGAGTTTAGCGGTTGGAGAGCACCTCAAAGTGCATGATTCCTTGCCCATTTTATAGTACACACAACAAAACCTTCCTGGCCTTGAAACGGTTTGTGCCGGCTCTCTGCACTTCGACCGTGTAGATCGTATTTGCTTGATTTTTACTGTAATTGCTCCACTTTTCATCACTAGTCACTAATTCAGTCCATGCGGTTTTCTCGTTAATTCGTGTGGCACCCATGTATCGAGCTTCCTGGTTATGCAGCCTTTTTCAAGTGGTTCCAAACTAGTTTCGTGCAATGCTTAGCTCAGGGGTATTCCAAATAGTGCTCATGTGATGGTTAGACTCGGCGAATTCCATTATTTTGTTGACATCTTCGACAATTGACCTCTCATACCGCGGATCGTCTTGATGGACATTAAACATAGAGGTCGCCATGACAATGACTTTGTACTGATGGCCATTTGCTACAGTTATTGTAAAATCACAGAAAATTGAACTTCTTTTGCAAATTTGAATGCCAACGATGATCAATAGAATCGGGGTCAAGCCAAAATTTATTTCGAAACTGGAAGCGGAGAACTTTTTCCGTCTCATCTGATCTGTTACATACTTACCTATTCCAATTCTCTTCTCCAAATTAAATAAATAAGTGTATGTTCATATGTATATATGTATGTATGTACGTATAATTGTAATAATTATCGTTCCGTGGCCTTCAGCTGTAGAAGTAAACAAGAAAAGGCAGCCAAAGGGAATTGTCGTGGCGGCTGATCTGATGTGATGTGGCATTTTATTGCACATAACGAAGGTAA